CATTCTTTATTCCTACTCACAACTTGCTTTCCTTCTGTCATGAGACCCCTTGATGTACCCCTCAATTCCCCATTCAGCTTTTCAGACCAGGGAAGTTCCTTATGTAATGTCCCTCGAATCGTGCATATTCAACAGTTCGCGAGGGAGTCATAGTGGACCCGCCTTCCGTCTGGAAATTATGCAAAACAAATTTCTTGCCATCAATCAGGATTTCCACCCAGTTATCCTCGTTTTCAAAGTCATTTCATTCATATAATTATGTTCCCTTCAAGTGTTCCGGTAGCAAACCAGTAATGAGGTCAGACGCTCGCATTCTTCGTTTTGTATCTGATTCTTATCGACATAAGAACTCTACCGTACCAGTTGACTTCACTGGCAATTCCACACATCCCGTTATTCAATGCTAACATATTCAACCGTTGAAGGTGCCAATCGCATTTAAAGCTCACTTCATGACGAAGTAATATATGCACATATGGCAGTCTTTCAAAGAGGGTCAAGGACCTACATATCGGACTTACACCAAGAAAATGATATTAAATCGATTAAACTTGTTCTTTAGGGTATTTCCTCAACATTTTATAATCATCTCAGTCTGACCATGAACTATTCTTTCCGTACTTCTTCGATATTTCCGCTTTTCTCACTCTTCACGTATTCTTTCGGAAATACTTCAGGGAATATATTGTTGGACGGCGAAAGTTGAACCCTTACAACCAGATTTTTCCCTTGTGATCTGTATTTTCGAACAAATATCTTTTTTTTTTGTTTCTGAATGTATCTTCCACTTTCAAGCTCAACCACGAAAAAGGGTAAAAGGCTTTTCTCAATTCCATCGTATATGCAATAAATTTAAGAGATTTTCCGGAAATGCTGAGATTCCTTCAGTTCTAATGATACCATTCACTCTTGTCTTTTGCTTATTGTTCAGTCCCACCGGAAAAAAGATGAAAATCACAAGCTCTATAATCGAAAAAAATATTCGAACACACTTGCAAAAAAAAACAACTCAGGTATTCCTCTCAAAATAAAAATAATCGCTACTTTCTGGTTTAAAGTTTCACCTACACCTTCGTAGGTATCATCGTTTCTTTCTCTTTTTCCAAATTCAGCATTCTGCGGCTTGTCCGCGGTGTTGTTTGCATAACGTCGCAAGGTTTTCCTGAATGCTTTCTTATGCCACTTTGCTCGAAATCATAATCTCCCAGCAGGCGCACACGCACATTTCAAGGGCAACCTTCACTCTTACCGGGATTATTGACACTTTTTCTTTCGGCTACCCTGATTCTGAGAGTTATTGAATTACCACTCAAAACCGAGCCTGAAAAGTATTCTTACTACAGCTTCATAAACTTTTATTCTAACCTTTATGGCTTGTCTACTCCGTACAAAGCTTTCTTGTGATGAGTTGCACTGACGTGAGAAGTAGGCCAGTCAAGGGAAAGCACTTCTTCAATTAAGTGAATTTTGCCTCTCTCGACAGAAAATCTTGATAATGGTTGAAGGTTATAGCTATTTTTTCTAACTATACCACCCCACCTGCATTGAACCCGAAGCTCCTACTAATCATATAGCTGAGCTCCATTTTGGCTATGCTTATTTCGAGAAATCGATCAAACTAATAGAAAAAGTAATCTTTGAAAGCTTTAACTCTGTAAGCTTTTCACATTCCTGAGCCGAAAAAAGGTGTTTGCAAAAGCAGCCAGAGGCTTTCATTATCAGTCACATCGAAGATCGTTGAAACTCGTTCTCTTCAATGAAACACGACTACCTCATTACGTGCCTCCCCCCTCATTGTACCGTTCCGAGATGGCAAAAGTGTCTGGTCGGATTGCCACTGACTGCTAATGCAAATGAGCTGGACTACCAGCCTGCGAATGGAGACCTTCTTGACGAAAACGACCCAGTAACCGATTTGAGCTTTATTTTCTTTTTTTTACCTATCATTATTGTCAGAAAAGGTTGGCGAGCAATAGACAAATGGGCAACGCCCGAAAAGCACAAGGAAAGGTGTAGGACCCTCCTAATGCCCAAGAGTCCAGCAGCCATTGAAATACAACAATTTGAGCTCTCTTAAAGGTGAAATCTTGAAATAAATTTCTCAAAAGGAACAGGATGAAATGAAGAGGATCCACCCAAGCAAGAAAAAAAATGCGGGAAAAAAATTCATCTGATCAGCGATTAGTAGAGGCAAACAAGGAATCCTACATGAGGGATAAAAAGACGAGTTAAGGTTCTAATGAATCCCGTTCTGGGATACGAACCCTTCATTATACTTCCCTTCCGAATCTTAGAGTTGTCTTGAATGCACATTTGGCCGACACAACGGTTTTCGGTGACCAACTGGAGAATAAGTCAATCCTCCCATTCTCTCAATCACGGACACTGGGCAGATGGAAGGCTTTGTAGCCCTAGGCGAATCCCGACCAAGGATTTCTTCTCTGCCCATGCATTTGTGACAATGCGCTGCTCGCCACTACACCACCTCCATCCAGGACTCACATATAGCTTAATATTCTGTTGAACATCCTTTTGTCGCTGTAGTCGTAACAAGTCAACCCAGACCCCAATTCTCACCCAGAAAACCCAGAAACACACAATCGTTTGCTTGCTCAAACTACCCCATTTGCGCGGTCAGATTGTTTCTGAACGAGTCGACACCATTTAATTGTCTTCTACCAGCAGACACGAGTTGCTAAGCCATCTGGAACCTTGTTTTCATCACTGAATTGTTGCTTTTTGCTCGTGTGAACGAACGATTCTTTTCAAATCACCTGGCTTGGACGAAGATTGAGAGTATAGTGCAGGAAGCAAGGAGGCTGAATCACGTTTTGAACCACCCACTACCTTCAGATCAATTTATGAAAGCCTATGTCATGGCATATCCCGAAAATCATTGTTAGACATTTGGAATTTTGCCAAAGAAAGCTCCTGGAAGCCCTAGCCTTGTTCTCATATTGACGAACGTTCCGTTCTAAAGCCCTTTATCTACTAACTGGCTCATTCACGCAGATCTAGCAATTGTAGTGGCGTCCAACCTGTTCGGGAACTCGTTCTCGTATTCTTCCACGGTCTAGTTCAGTATAAGCCCGTGCCATCCCCACTTCGCCACCTACTTTTCAGCCATCATAGCATTGATTCTTTCCGTAGTATTGTTCTCCGAGGGATATCGATTTATCATGTTCCATTAACTGGCTGATCAGTGTCTCCCCCGTTTCCTCGACGCCGACGATGTGCTGTTGTCTCTCGTCCGGCCAAACTCTATCGTACGTTGACCCGTTTTGGAGGACAGATTATAGACAGCCGACCATGCGCTAGGATCTACTAAGGCTGTACTTTCTCTTGTATAAGTTCTTGTCGATAGAAATCCAGACATTCCTCATTCTTCGTTCGTTTTTTGACTTCACCTTCTGATGACTTCACTACTACATTGAACCACTCACCAGTCTCGCTCCGGGGAAGTCGGGAGTCGACTCTGAAGAAACCTACTCCTTGAGTGCTAATTTTCTTGTCGATCGAAACTTGCGCAGTCAACACGACATTCGCGACACTGTCTCGGGTTCGCCTTATTTGGAGAAGCTCAGTACGTTCGACGCGAACATCGTGTAGCGTTCGCAAACACTGCGCACACTTGCTGACAACGCTCCCATTGCTCTGCCGAGCCTTTGATGACCGTCTATCACGTTCGGAAAACCCGATAGAAGTAGCCTTTTACCTTATGATCCTGCATTGTTTTTTTAACCAATTTCTTTAGAACTAGTGGTAGGCATGGCTAGGGTACCGATTGAAGCCTCTTTCAGTCGTTACCCTACCCATACCTTCCAGTTACTCGTACAATAGACAGGGACCTCTACATTTACGCTTTGATTTCGAAATTTTTTTTTGTTATCAGATTTATTGAAACGGCCGTAGGTATGTGTAGGATATTGAGTAAAAGTATCTTTGGTAACTTGACAACGGGTCAAAAGTGAGTTCTTAACCAGACTATCGTAAATATCGCTTGTTTTTAATTCATTTTGATTACCGTACTTTTCTGCTCCTTTTCCATTCGTTTCCAGACTTTTCCATCTCAGCGCTTCTACAGAGATCCGTAATCTCTAGATCCTTCTTTCTAGCTATAATTTCTTTTGCAAGCTCATTACATATTTCTTTTTGAAATGCCCATTACTCGAAAAGGGAGGAAGCTCGTACCACGCTGTGCGTTCAGCCACAGTACATGACATTTTAGATATTGTTATTAACATATCCGGCTCAAACAAAGCACTTACCAGGCCGATTAGGGTCCATTAGAAATTGTGTTGACAGATACACGAAAAACCTTTCCTCACCCGATTGTTCCTAGAGAATCGCCTGAACTAACAACGAAAATCAAGGCCAACAGAGTTACTTTAGACATCCTTACCCCCCGGATTGCCTTTAGAGAACTTCGTATTCCCGTTCGATTTTGTTTCTCGCCTTCTTACGTTCGATGACCCGGGAGACAGGTAAAAGTAGGAAATGTTGGTCATACTGGTTGAAGTTTAGGTCTGGCTTTGTATTTTTACAGTACTTTTAGATTAATTGCATTGTAAACACGTTTGAAAGAAAATTCAGACTGCTTTAAACTTTAAAANAAAAGTGAGAATAGGGGCTTCAAGGTTGCAAGATCCACTTTCGTCCTTAGTCTCAATGAATGTCGTTCGGTTGCAGTTTGAATAGATTAAATTGGTGTCTTAGTCGTTCCATTCAGCCTAACTCATACTTGTCACCCTCATTCAAGCATCTAATGGGTTTTGCCAAAAAAACGGTGTCGATTCCTGTTCTCTTGATGCAATGCGTGCGCATTACGACCATATCCAAAGTGTTCGCATTCCGATCGTTTCCGATTCGTCCTCGAGTCCTTCGTTGTTGTTCTATCGTCATTGCAAAAAATTTTGTGCATGAAAAACTAATCGACGACTTTCTCTCATCTCTCTAAAAACCGATTTCAGCGATTTTCTGGTGATGTCCTAGTGCAGACTATGGTTCTCGTTACAAAGGTGAGTCTTTCTTCTGTTCGTTTTTTCCTTGGCACGGTCTTCGGGCTAATTTTCACTGAAATTTATTGGTCACATCTGTGTTGTAAAGTCCTTTGCTCACTTATCAGACACCATATCTGTTGTAATTAGGCAAGATTATCAGATTACAATACGGCTGTCAGATTTAATCTGTCTCAAAGTCCGCTCTCCCACGAGCCTACCAAAGTCCGCGCTCCCACAAGCCTACTTTTCTAGCGGGAACGATGATGCCTAAGCATTAGGAATGCTTGTAAATGTCCTAGTGAATTTTACCTAGACTGATCTTCTCTAGAGGCTCGTTTCTCTGATTAGCTATAGAAGGGCCTACTATTCAGGCCTTCAAGAGACCCATGGGTAACTACAAGTTTGATTAGAATAAAGCCGTAAAGGCCACAAAATCAAGTAGGGTGAGATTTTGACCCTTCTTCTTCTTTTTATTTCCCACTTGTGAATGAACATCTCATACCATTGAGGTGAGAGCTGTTTGCAGCTGAAAAAGGTATATATTTACTACTAGATAGATACATTGATAATTGAAATATTCTTGTGCCGTGCGAGCTTGGTAGGTGGAACAACTTATTAATTACATTATAAATAATTGAATAAATAAATAATTCAATTGGTTACATTTATAATTTTTGCAGAATTGTAAGGCGTCCAACTGCCTTATTCTCGCTATCTTTATTGGAAATAGTTACCAAGCAAACAGATCGTTTTTGTCAGAAAGTCGGCATAGGATTTTGTTTGTAAACAACGTAGCCATTCCTCTGCCAATGATTCACTGAGTGGACACCCGTACCCAAAATGAAAACAAAGGACTCTTTTGAAATTTCAAGAACAACTGACTTTTGTATTGCTTATATTGCGCATGAACACTCAGCATTGGTTACGACAGAAGCTTGGTAGAGTGCGCGCCCCCAAAGCAACAAAATCCGATCCAAATGGAAAGGGCTCCTGTGCTACGTGACATTCCCGAACGGCCTAGAAATAGCCCATGCGTTCTGATTCCATTAAAACCTATCATTCTCACACCCTCTGGTTTTCAGGGCCCCTCCCAGTGTAGTATCAAAATGCTTTGGAAGATGACATCAAATCAAATTTTAGATCCAAAAATGACATCAAATCAAATTTTGGATCCAAAAAGGACTACCTTTACGGGAGACATCGGTAGTATTTCCTGACACTTAGATAAAATCCGATCGATATATCTTTGGGCAGTTCTGAGGACAGTAATGTTTATTCGAGCGTTGCACTAGTCGAACAATCAAAGACTGTAGACACGTGGAAGGAGAAATTCTTGGTTTCTGAACGGGGATCAATCCCTTCCTAAGATGCGCTCACGCAGTCGACCTCCATTCGATGCCATGTCCACCTTACATTGTGGATTTGTCCTATACCACTTTTGAAAACGAACCAGTTCAAGTCAGTCTTTTAGTCCACCAAGCTTTCAACCTCTAGCTAATCGGGAAGGAGCGAAGAGATTAGACAACTTCCTAACTGGGATTTGTTTCCAGAACCAAAAGTGTGATAGTGAAGCTACTGAGACCGATTCCATCTCGGCTTCATTGCAATGCATAATCAAATCAAATAAGCCGTGGATATCTAGCTAAATTGGATTTCTATTTCAACTTCCCTAGACCCCTTCAGAACGCTGCATTTTATAGCCATTGTTGTCCCTATTCTATAGTCTGGATGTGTTTGACGATTATTTTAACCTCTGGAATGTTCAGGAGACGGGCGTTAGGAACGATTTTGGGTAAACGATTTGCCGCACGCGGCTGTCGCGGATCACTCATTCGCCGTTATCACAGCTCTAGCGTTCTCCATACAGCTCAATCGATATGCGATCATTATTTTATGCATAATTCTACTATTAGTACTTTTGTTCTTGTATTTCTTACCTACTGCTGCATCCTGCTACATTCCTTCGCACGCAACGCCCCTCTCACCGCGACGCGACCATTTCGTTCCTAATGCACCGCACCCGGAATGATCCACTCACTATGAGCCTCACGCCTACCTTTTTTTCCCTTTTAGAGAATTTTCAGAGTTATTTTACTTGTTTTCATCAGCTAGCTTAGCGGATTCAAACATCCTTACCATTTCTACTCCTGTTGCAGTACTTTTCGGCAAATATGTATAGCTCAAAACTCACTCGAGGATCAATTTATTTATTAAATTATTTTATTGTGACATGCCAAACATGGGTAGTTACTGAACAACAACAGAAATAAATTGTAATGTAAAAAAGCTCAATCGATTAAGATTTTGCGAATGCGCTATGATCGCACTCTTCGACGCCCTTTTTCTTCAAAATCATAATAGTCATTGAAGAAAATGTAAAAAGCAACAAAATGAGGCATGTGTTAGAACTATCAAACTATCGAGTGAATTGGCTTTCTACAGCCTTGAGTGATGTCGTCTATCAAAGCTTGTACTTCCTTTTGTCGGTGTCCCTGTCTTCAGCTGAAAAGCACCTGTACTATATTTAACCTGGAATGTTTGTGCCCTTTTATTTACCATCCAACGTTTTTTCAGCCTGAGCTCAATGATAAGGGTGTTATGACTTGTAGGCGACTATCAGACTTTTATGCAAAATCACACACTCATAGTCAATCACTCCACTATCTGACTCTACAGATGTTGCGTGGGAGATGATATGTCGCTCACTTCTGTAGTGAAGCTCTTTGATAGCCCGACATCAGAGTTCTGAAAAAATGTTCAAGAAGAAGAATATGTTTCTATAACCATATTAGCCTCCTTGAAGGGTCTATAATATGGTCGAAATTCACCTGAAGCACTTAATCCCTACCACTGGATCCTTGTTTTGTCTTTTTCTGAATTTTATTTTCGATATTTACTTGTTTATTACTTCTAATAATACTTCTGTTATTTAACACCCCATTCACAGATTTTCTCCTTTTAAGTTCTTCAAACGGATGACTTGTGCCTCCCAAGACCTACCGCTGCTTTCCACCTATAAAGGATCTTCATTAATGATGGTGTTATTGGACGAGTTTTACGGTGTAGAAGCGCTCGGTATAACCAGTGATGACAGCTTTTCTCGGGATTTAAGACTTCGACTTAAGAATGGGCGCTATGGCTAATGTTGGAGTGACAGAAGTGAAGAGATAGCAGGTCCCCCAGACATGGTCCCCATGTGAATAATGCTGAGATCAAGTTCAGCATTGATACTAGTGCGAGAATTCCGACCTTATTCGACTTTTCCGGGTCGACCTTATTCGGGTACCTAAATAAGAGGTAATAAAAAGAGAGGCTTGTCGATCAGCTGGTCTGCAAGTCGTTACACTGTCAACATTCAGCTCCACTGCAATACGGAATGGGAAGTGAGCGCGGGAGTGAGCGCATGCAGAAACGGAATTGATCAACGAAAAAACCTTTCTATCCTCCTAATGCGGGAATGAGACTAGGAGGTTGAGGAAACCGTGGGTGCTGCCCGATGAATGCAGAATCATAAACGCCCTTCAATGCGATGTCACTAAATTTCCTTGAAAACTCCACCTCAGACGTCTAGGCCAATAATTTTCTCTGATAACTGCCTGCCTAATCGGAGAACGTCCTTAACAGTTCGACCGAAAGTTTTTAGGGTTTTTCTTTGAAATCGCATTTGTTATCGAGAAATCGAGAGGAATTTAAAAAGTATTGACACTTGATTAGCGACCCTATTTCTCCTTTGTTTACAAAGAAAAAGTTAATCATATTTGAACCATGGCACCGGCATCAAAGTTCTGAATGACATAGATCACCTAAACAAAGGGTTACTTCAAGTACAAGACATTTTCAGTGCTTCTCCTCTTATTTCATTTGAAAGCATTTCTCGAAGAGGCTCTCCAATTTAGGGAGATTTTGTATGGATCGAGCCGTTAGCCGGCGAAGGTATCCCTGTGGGTGCTCGAGTGCTCGACCAAGACCATGGTCGACTAAAAGTAGTCGATGACCTCGGACAAGTAAGTTACAATCCTTTATTTACAATTCTTTGATTACTTCAGGACAGACAATTACTACGGGTCACTTTCTTCGCTAAGGTTCATTACATTCCCGAACAGCTGCCTGATTTCGGTTTTTTCTCTAAAAATTCATAGCGCAATCGCAATAAGGGCAGCTAATAGGCTGACGCCCCACCTTGACCCTCTTAGTTAGTCACTCCCGCCTCACCCTTTGCGATCAAATCATTGCCGACTACAATTCATGGGCGACTGTTTGCGTAAATTTGGTCAAAATCCAGCCTGTTCTCTCAATGAAGAAGAGCGTCGCCCAAAAAAAAAGCACTAAGAAAACAAAAGAGGGGATAGACCTGTTGGGGCTCAAAAAAACTTTGAAACGAAGGGCGGCATAATTGCCTAAATGAGCCTTTTTAGCAACCTGCATAAACTTTACTGTCTTGAACTGGTTATAGAAAAAAAAATTATGAAAATAAAATTCCTTTCGTCATCTTCTCTTCGATGTAGCCAGGAGAAAAAGGCAAAAGCGATGATTCAGAAAAGGAATAGATAGGCTTTTTGATGATGACAGCTGTGAAATCAAGCCTTTCGACATCTGTCATCTTCGGAATGTAGTGCTCTCAAGAGTCTATCGCTGTAATAACCGATAAAAAGCCATTTATTACATCAATAAACTTTAGTCGCCGAATTCAAGGAATGATATCATAAGTGACTGACTCACTGAAGTGTCATAACTGTAACGCCTTTGAGGTTGAGTCTATCGAGTTGAGAAAAGTTTTCACTTCGAGGAAGCAGTTATGATTACCCTTGTCCTAGGCTTCCTAGTCCATCAACGTATAGTCGTATACAAGCAAAAAGTTCATTTGAAGACCCACACTTCAGCGTTGAGAGGATGAAATCGGCTCGGGAAGCAATCGAGATCATCAAGGGATTGACGAAGGAAACAAAAAATAGCCGGCTTTTTGGCGATCCCGCTGTCCCTTCTAGGTCTCAGAAACTTAAGCTCTGCTCAGGCAGGATAGCTATTCTGTCACTTAGGTCTTGAAGAAAGATTCAGCAAGATCTGAATTGTCTGGTACAGGCAAGAGCGTGAAGGTTCAAAAGACTGAAACAACACTGACTTTCTCTTTAGATTCGGCGAAAGAAGCTGTAAACTGGACTAGGTAGATCAGTTTGCGGAGTTTTTTTCCCGAATTTTGTGACGAGTAGATACCCTAGGGGAAGTGACCCGAGTGCAACTTTTTCAAACTTAAAATCAAAAACCGGCTTCACAGTGACTACTTTTGGTTTGTTTTCCTCCAGTAGAATGAGATTAGTAGGATTTCATATGGATTCGCTAGACAACTAACTTAGTATTGTAGGAGCAATGGCTTTCGGTCGATCGACGAGTTCGAATCATGCATCCAACGTCCGTACAAGGAGTAGAGGACATGACAAAGCTCGGTGACTACCACGAGAGTGCCATTCTGAGGAATATTTACGTTCGCTATCGCGAAAAGCTCATCTACGTGGGTACTCTACTGTTCTTCATTTCTCTACAACCCGAACCTGCCTTGCACAAATTCCTGCCTCAACCCCTTGATTTCAGACCTACACTGGTTCGATTCTAATCGCTGTCAATCCATATATGAATATTCCAATCTATACAGCCGAACAGATTCGCATGTACAAGCGAAGGAGAATCGGTGAATGAACGTTTTTAATTGACCATTTATGAGCTCATATCGAGCACGGAAATATTATTTTCATTGTAAAACGGAAGGACGCTAAGAAGCTTTTTCTTCTTGTTGTCGTTGATCGTTCTCGTTTTGGGATGCTCCACGTGTTCGGCTCCTTGTTGGAATCGAGTGTAGCATTTGAATTCTATATTCAGACCTAAAAGGTCTTTTAGGGCCAACCACTGCAAAAGTCAGTGCTTTATAGTTGAATCCACTAGATCCTCAAAGGATGGGAAGCTTAGTCGACGTCTACGCTTACTATTCTGGGTCACTGGCCTATCAAACTTCGATTCCTTCTGACTTCGGTTTTAAAGGAAGTAGGTCACCCCATCCCCAACACTGTAAAGTCTCTGTAGGGCCTCCTACTTCCCTACAGAGACTTAACAGTGCTTGAACGCGCATTCGACCTTTACACTGAGTTGCAGTGACCCGATTCAGATGTCGTTACTTTCGGAGAAATCTTGCACCAACTGAAAGACCTCTGGTGATTAGTGTCTGACTGGTTTAGACCTTATCGGCTCGAGATTATGAACCATACGAGCAGTAGTTCTTCACTTGACCTCATCCTACCACCATCATCATTTCTTAACTCATTCTAGTAATCAACTAGCAAGTAAGTAAGCAAGCCCAATCATGAAGCTGTTGGACATTGGTATGGCCAAAAAAATCCTGCTCACCCGAGCATATCAGATTGAATTGCGTCTTCTCCTTCCAGGGGCTCTCTTCCAGCTATGTCTATAACGGGTCTCAGCGTCCAGTGTCTTTAAATGAAGTCTTTGTACTTTAAGTATAAAAGAATGGAAAAGCAGATGATAGCAAAGGGATTCGTGAAAGTGTAAACGGATTGTCTTCAGGTGAACTACCGCCTCATATCTTTGCCATCGCTGACAATGTCTACACAAATATGCGAAAACATGGAAAGAATCAAAGTGTCATCATAAGGTAACACCCTCTACTGTCTTTTTTAGACTCACTTTTCCTAGGACTGAAGGCTGTTACATGGAAATTGTTTTATTTGAGAAGGATTGCAGGGAACTGAGTGTGCAAGTACATCGTTTCATTTTAGTGGCGAATCAGGAGCGGGAAAGACCGAATCAACGAAACTCGTACTTCAATTCTTGGCTACCATCAGCGGACAACACAGTTGGATAGAACAGCAAGTTCTGGAAGCTAATCCTATCCTAG